GGCCTTCCCCAGAGTTGGTTTCCGGAAAGAAACCCCAACCCCCTTAAAACCCAAGGCTTTTTTTTTTAAAAGGGAGTTTTGGGGATTTTGGGGGACCGGCCGGTCCCCGAAAAAAAACCCCCGGGGCCCCCCCGGGGGGCCCGCCGAAATTTTTAACCTGTTAACCCAAACCCCCCCCTCCCCCGGAAATAAAACCCCCCCCCCGTTTGGGGGGCCCCCCCCCCCCCCCCCGTCCAAACACCGCCCTGGGCTGTTCCCCAGTCCTGGCATCCCACCCCCCCCGCATTGAAGCGAAAGCTTTTGACACGCCTCCCCCCCCCCAGAAAAAAAAAAACATCACGGAACCTCTTGTATTCCCGCCGCTTTCGAGGGGGAGACTTGAGCTCTCACCTCAACGATAGCGACGATGAGGCCACCGAAGGCCGCCGTCCCGATGTGGAAGGTGAACGTCTTTCCCACGGAAGAGACCACCGTCAACGACCCGACGTGGCTCTTGTGCCGGGCGAAGTACCAAGAGGCGACCGACATGGCGATCACGATCTGCGAGAAAAAACAATCGAAAAAAAAAAAAAGGAGAAAATAATAAATAAATAAATAAAAAATAAACAAGACCAAGAACATCCTGCTGTGAGCCGAACACAACCAACAGTACAGAGGTGAGTGCCATTCAGCGGGACGATAAGTGCATCGCGATCAGTTTGCGATCAGGCAGCGAGCGCGCGTGGCTTGTTGGTCGATCATCGGCAGCTCATGAAGGTGCCGCAAGTCGAGTTCGACACGCGGGCGAAGACATGTATCCGCTCACTTCTCGAGAGACCCACCGGCGCCTCGGCAAAGTCGTTGCGGTTGACGCGCTTGCAGAGAGTCGTGTACCGTAGTTTCTATAGCTGGAATAAAATTAAAAAAATGAAACACACCCACATGCTCGTACATGATGGTTTCTAGACCGCGTGGTTCCATGGAAAGAACGACACTACTGGTATACGCGAACAGCAGTGCAGGGTACACAATAGCGCCGATAGGATTGCAGTCCGCCCGCTCTTTCACTTGCCTGTCCCATGGCCGTGATGAAGTTCAGGGTCCAGAAGAGGCAGAACAGCAGGAACCATCCCCGGTACTGAACCTGCTGGTCGAAGTCATACACCTAACAGGCGAACGGATGAGAAAAACACAACGCAAGTCGAATACGACAACAGCACCACCACCATCACCACCACCACACGTCAGAAATAGGTGAGGTACTATAGTGCACACTTATACGAGAGAGTGGGGGAAGGCGGCGTAACGTGAAACAAGTCCACGCGTCCCTTACATCAAAACAAGACCACCCGCACACAGAAAACCTCCGGGAACATTAACATTTACAACCTCGGTGGGGTGAAGCCTCCTCGTGGAGGGAAAGCTCCCGCATTGCTGGAACGTCGCCCAGGTACTACTGCTGTACGTTGATCCAAAGGGTGGTAGGGAAGCTACGCAAAGCGAGGGACAACGACCGACGAGGATGAAGCAGCAGCGTGCGCTCGGCATCCTCGAACCACTTGTGTGCCGAACGACCAAGGCGGCAGTGCTATGATGCTCAACAGCAGTCATGTTTTTTCTCCAAAACAAGTGTCCTTAACGCGGGGGGAGTGCCCCTAGAAATATGCCTTCCCCCGTATTGTTTTTCATTTCGCGGGGCACCATGTTACTGAAAATATCGTGTCCGTAAATCGAGGAGAAACCCTTAGTTTTTGTGTGGTTTGAAGCAGGGACGGCTGTAATTGGATGCGAGGATCAATCAAAAACAGGCGAGCTGGGGCACCTCTCTCTTTCTCACCTTGTAGGACAAATCATATCCGCCCGTGTCGCTCTCGACGGTCTTCGTCGTGATGTCCCCCAGGCTGGCCGTGTAGGCCGCGTAGTACATCCAGATAGCCACGAACGCGATCGACGCAACCTGCGCGCGCAAGGGGGCGGGGGAACCGCCGATTTCACCATCGGTGGGCCAGGGGGGGGGGGGGGGGGGGGGTCGGGAAGAAAAAAAACTGGGTGGGCGAAAACTGTTTTTTAAATTTGGCGGTTCCGACCCAAAAACCCTTAAAGATTTTTGGGAAAAAAATTCAGCAAACGCTTCCTTTTTCCGGCCAAGTAGGGAAACC